ACCTGAGAACCTCCCAGACCTTGATCACAGTGTGCTGAGAGCAGCTTCATGCTCCCCCCTCCGCCCCCCGCCACCTCCCCATATGTATATTCTAAAGACTACTAGCCAGCAACGTAATTCGGATTTCTAACAAATTTGCTCCCTCCCGTAAGCATAATGCTGACCTTTCCAACCCTCCTGGCCCTTGCGACCCATAGGCCATTCCGTGAATTGACGGGAGAAAGGGGCCTCCTTGGAATCCTGGGGCCGCTGTAGCCTGTGCCTCTCTCTACCCTGTGTCCTTGTTCCTTTAGCCAGCAGCGCCCTAAACTGTTTTGGAAGGGAGGGTGGCTGTTTCTGTGCTGCCTCTGGTTACACCTGGCACCATCCAGGGGCTTTCGATCTGAACGGTGCAAGCTTGGGGAGGCCCATGGCGAAGTTCCCCGACGGAGGGAAAGGCAAGCGCAAAGGCCCTGAGAGCAGCTACAGGGAGGGGAATAAAGCTTGGGGAGAGGATGGCCAGAGAATGAGCTGACCCGTGGGTGATGGGCAGGCCTGGGAACTGGCCATCTGGCTGCAGGAGCTGGGCTGGGCCCGGAGCAGGTGGGAGGTTGTGGTTGTAGCCCCTTGTAGGCCTGACAGCCCTCCCAAGTGGGGAGGTGGGCCTAGGGCAGCTGGGGCCACAGGGTAGGCCTGGCCACCTCAGGATACTGAGAAACAAGCAAGTCCAACTGAAATAACAAACAGTATCAACACTTCAGTCATGACATATGCAATTTAATAACCTACCAGCATACTTACAAGCCAAATATTTGTCTGGAAGTGGTGACCTCTTTGAGGCAGGTTTTGTTTGTTGTTAAGACGCAGAACCTTGCCCCAGCCCGTCCGAGTTATGGAGGGGCTGGCTTTTATGTGATTTGTTAGAGGAACTGGAGGTGGGTATGCGTGGGGAGGCCATTCAGGGCCTCCGTGGCCTTTTGGGGGACACGCTGCTGAGAGTGGTTGAGAACTGCTGAAATAAAGCCTCTGGTGTCTGTCTTTCTTGCTAGATTGGGTGCCCTAAGAGGGGGGAGTTACTAGAGCATGACACCCCATCCATCTTGCCTATCACCATGTCCCCAGTGCCTGCATAGCACTCAGCATTTAGTAGATGCGCAACACCTGGTGGTTGAGTGAATTGGTGAATCTGTGTTAATTTTCTTAAGTTAATGGATAAGTTCATTGATAAAAAAATCGCGCGCGCGCACACACACGCGCGCTCGTGTATGTATAAAATAGACTCCTGGTTTCTGTAGACTGGCCACCTGAGAATTAACTGAGGAGCCTTTCAAGATGTCACATTCCTGGGTTCCAATCACAGAAAGTTGGGGTGCAGCCTAGGAGTCTATTGTCAAGAGTACTTCATTGGTTTCTCAAAAAAGTAAACATAGGGGTACAGAATGAGTCACCCCAAAAGGTGCCTCTGTGGTATGTGATTATTTTGAGCTAAAGGCAATTGAAATGGGGCTCACAAGAAACTGCTACCTCTCCCTTAAAGAATTTAAATTACAGGCTTTGCCCATAATAAGGGTTATTACCAGAAAAAACTTTATGATCTATCTATAGGGAGGGCAAACTTCTAATTACTGCACATCTGCTCTTCTTTTCCTGCAATGATCTTCCTCCCCTATGAAGCCCCAACATGCCTTATCTCATCCTTAATTCAGAATGTTGTATACACCTCATGTTACCGGTCTGTCTCTGAACCTCTCATGTATGTGAGATCTTTGACTCTCTTGTATATGTGGGGTTCCCATACATATGTATTTAATTAAATTTGGTTATTTTCTTTTGTTGCTCTGTCTCATGCAGATTTTCTTTAACTCTAAGTATTAGAATTAAAGAAAAACAAATGAACCTTGAATGGTAGAGGAAAATTTCTTCCTCCCCCACACCAGCAATTCCGCTCATAGGTATATACCCAGAAGAATTGAAAGCAGGGACTTACATCCATAGCAACACTATTCTCAGTAGCCAAAAGGTCGAAGCGACCCAAGTGTCCGTCAATGGATGAGTGGATAAACAAATTATGTTTCCACACACAACTGAATATTATTCAGCTTTAAAAATGGAATGAAATCTGACACACTACAACATAGACGAATCTTGAGGACATTATGCTAAGTGAAATAAACCAGTCACAGAAGGACACATATTGTATGATTTCATTTATATGTGGTCCTTAGAGTAGTCAAATTCATAGAGGTAGAAAATAGAATGTTGGTTGCCAGGGGCTGGGAGTGGAGGGAATGGTGAGTTGCTTGATGGGTATAGACTGCAGTTTACCTAAAAATGGTTAAGAGAGTCAATTTTATGTGGTGTATATTTTACCACACACACAAAAAGTGCTTCATCCCAGCCAGGTCTGGGGATGACGAGGGTGGGAATGGGGGAGTGGAAGGGATATGGATTGATGATGCTGATGGCCCTTTGAGGCTTTGCAGCCTGTGAGTGGCTGAGACGACAGCATTGGCTTTACAGCCTTCGTGGCGGAGGGGGGGGGAGGGGTGGGGAGTGGCTGCATATCCTGACCTCTGCCCCTCAGGAGGCCGGGCAGGCTCCTGAGTGGAGGCCACATGGCCTGTCCACTGGGGCAGCTGCTGCCCACCTCCAGCTGATTGGTTATGGGAGTGAAGTCCAAAATGGATTTGTATGTGAAATCTCCTAATGTTTAGATCTTGACTGTTGGGTCAGTGAACAGGCAAACAACCCACATGTGGGTCAAACAGAACAAGTATGCAGCCTCGGGTCTGGGGTGGCGTCTATTTCTTGGAGCTCACAGTCTCGGGCCACAGCGAGAAAGGTCCCGTTCCAGGTCCTCTTACAGGTGTTATGACACGTCCGACGTCTGATACCGGATTTCTCTTTGATCTCTGAGAATTACTCTTGCTTTCAGTGCACCTGGAGGGAGGGTGTCTACAGGGTGAGGGAGAGTGCCTGGGGTCTGGATTCTGCTCAGCCTGGGGTCGTGGCTCTGCCATTAGTGAGTTGTGAGGCTGTAGGCTACTCGCTTCTTTCTCCCCCCATGCCTGTTCCTTATCTGACCCATGGGAATTAGTAACAGTTTCACCTCACAGAGTTAGAACGAGGACTCCGGGAGGGTGCAGGTGCGCGGCCTGGCCCAGGGCAGGGCCGGTGGGAGGGCTCTGCAGTGTGTGCATGCGTGTGCGCGTGCGTGACCTGGCTGAGCAAAGAGCCAGTGTGGCCTCGGACAGGCCATCGGCTGGTGAGTTACGCAACCTCGGACATCTGTTTCCTCATCTGTGATGTTGGCCCAGTGATTTTTTCCCCCAAATAATCATTTTAATGAGGCTTAAACAAGATAATGTTTAATGTGCCTGGCCACAGCACATGCCCAATTCACATTTGTTCTGTCTTTTGGAGTCTGAGGGCTTTGTCTTCTACACAGACTTGAGACAAGGGAGCTGGGGCTGGTTGGCCAAGTTGAAGACCAGAAGAGCAGGTTGCAGAGAAAGGGACCAGGGCCCTGTCCTTTCCCCGTCAGTTCCCTCTCCTACTTCCCGGCTGATAGAATGCAGGTCCTGGTCCTGTCCTCAGAAGCCCACCCACTTGCTGGTGGGAGACATGCCTCAGCTTCCCAGGGCAGCGTGGATGAGTGAGGAATCCCATTCATTGAGACCAGCTCTGTGCCAGCCTGGAACGCACACTGGGAGCTGGGCCCAGAGCCAAGCTCCACTGGTGTCCTTGGGTTTGCTGGTTGGAGAGAGGGATCCTTGCCCTGCCCAGAGCCATTCTGGAGGGTTAGAGACTGTACACTCACTCACCCAGAGCCGGGAGCATGCCCAGGGTGCCAAGATCCTGCCCAAGGACCCTACGTCTCTCTAATCAGACCCCAAACTCTACAGGCGCTTGGTGTGTTGATCATATGAAAGAGGGTGAAAGGCCCTTAATATTCCGAGACACTGAAGGGCCTAAAGGCCTATGTGACCTTTGGCGAGTCTCTGACAGGTGATACCTAAGGCCACTCAGAGCGTGGGGGCAGGTGACAGCATCTCAGTCCTTGGGGGGCTGGCCACAGGACGCAGAGTGCCTCCAGGTCCAAGGCCCAAACGCTGATGAGTTCAGGGACACCTGGGCCAGAGCCAGCGCCCCATCACTGCTTGCATACGTGAGTGCTCTGACATCTGTCCACCATCGCCCGGATAAGGAGTGATGGGGATGATGGGAACACGCTATGTGTGCAGCTTACTCAGTTCTACATGGTCGCTGCATAGTCGCATTATGTGTGCATGTTCATGACATGTGTGTCTTCATTGTATGTTCATTATGTGCCTATTATTGAGTATGTTCATGATGGGTGTGCTCATTGTGTGCATGTCCACTGTGTGCATGTCCCTAGTGTGTGCATGTTCATCACGTTTGCACACTGCAGAGGACATGAGGTGTGCTGGGGCCCTTCAGGAGTCCTTCCAGCCTTGAGAAATGTCTTCTGAGACCCTGGGGTTTGTGAGGATGAAGAAGGGGGTACCCAAGACAAGTGGAAATTAAAGTTCTTGTCCCCAACCTCCGACCTCCATATGAGGAAGGTGAATTCACACGAAATGAGGACAAAATGAGGCCATGAGGGGATCATTTCCACAAGGATTTCCTGAGCCTACAGGGAAGGTTATGGTCTAGTCCGGGCCAGATGCCAGGCACCCAGCGGGGTGAACAGCAGTGGCAGATGCTGAGGAAGATCAGGGCGCCTGGTGGGGGCACCTGCATGGGTGACTGGAGGGGCTCCACTGCTGCTGCTGGTCAGGGGAGCTCAGGCCAGAGCTCACTGGGAGGACATGCTGGATTGAGACCAGTGGGCCAGCGGGGGATGGAGTGCTTGGAGTGTGTCACCGACTGGACCTCGAGCTCCCTCCCCCAGCTGTCTGCTAGTCGGGTGCTGGGGACAGGCTCCCTGGGATGGGACACAGGCTTTGGAGCCTTGGACAAGACCAACATCAACTGACATCTGTCCTCCATCTCTGCAGGGGGCGGAGGAAAACGCAAAGGGAAAAGCAAGAAGTGGAAGGAAATCCTGAAGTTCCCTCACATTAGCCAGTGTGAAGACCTCCGGAGGACCATAGGTGAGCTTCCGGCCTCGAGGGGGGTTGGGGAGGGGCTGGGGGCGCAAGGGGCTGTTAACCCCCACACAGTGAGTCCAATACAAATCACTATCGCCATGATTCCAGCAGGGCTCCAGGCCGATGTCCTTGCTAATTGACGTAAAGACGCAACAACGTCTTATTGAGTATTTGGTGTGTGCTGGGCAGAATTGTCTCTGTTACCCTTTGAGGCGGGTTCTGTTATTTTACTCCCCCATTTCGGATGGGAACATCGAGGCGCCGAGGGTTCTGTAACTGGATGGAAGTGACACAGCCTGTGGGAGGGTGGCGGAGGGGACCAGGCCCAGTACTGAGCCCCGACTCGTAACTTTCCACCTTCTTTTGGGGCCCATGGGTCGTGCCCTTGGGAAACGGCCCCAGGCTTTGAGAGCCAAGAGTGAGGTGAGCATCTGCACCCCCCTCTCCTCTGGCGGGGGATGTCAGTGCTCAGCGAGGGCCACCCTGCTCCGTGGCACAGCTTCCACCTGGCCAGGTACCTCCAACAGCCACAAATGTCCCTCTCCTTCTGGTCCACCTGGCCCTGCCCTCATCACTTCCGCTTCGGGGCACCCTTGGGAGCATAGGATTCACCTCAGCATTTCTCTGCCCATGGGCCCCACCCCAGGGGTCCTTCCAGGCCCATGGACGTCCCCTTGGCAGGGCCCGCTCCCCTGGGGAGGTGTGAGACACGTGTGTGCTGGCGTGGGGACGTGAATTCTCTGTTCTCCCGGAGGACGTTGAAAAGACTCTGTGTGCGAGTGCAGTGCGAGGAGAGCGGGGAAACACGCCGCCGCAAACCGGACTAAGCCGTGGCCCCGGCCCCAGCGCGGGGCCTTCTGCCTGTTTACAGTCCGTCGCCCTGGTGTTTGCCCAGCCTCTGCTGGGGTCCTGCCGGAGGCTCTCTTCAATAAGAACCTCATTGCTCCTCCAGACCAAGACACAAGCCAAACAGCGGCACAAGCCGCATTTATTTTCCTTGTGGAGTCGTGAGCTCACTTTCTGAAGCTCTTTGGGAGGATGTCCCAGGACAGGCTCGGGCTGAGGTGAAAGGGCATCTTGGGCCCAGAGGACAGCGTGGGGCGGGGTGGTGGGAAGGCTCTTGATCAGAGGGAAGGGCAGAGCCCCCGGGGACCCAGGGACCCGGGACGCTGCCCCCTCTGGATTGCCCAGAACAGTGGCCCGTGAGGCCATGCCCCCCTTGCCCCTGCACTGCCCTGCCCTGCAGCCAGGGTGACTCTGGAAAATGAAAACTGAATCCCCTGCTGAAACCTCTGTAGAGTTCTCCATCCCACCCAGAATAAAACCCAAACCCCTGACTGTGGCTTAGAAGCGCTCTGTCCATTGGGTGAAGCCTAGAGACCCCTTCTCAGAATAATGCTCTTATGTGTGTCAAATAAAATGCATGAGGTTATTAGATATAGTTATTAGATATTTTAAAATATTTTTATTGATTTTAGAGAGGAAGGGAGAGGGAGAAAGAGATAGAAACATCACTGATGAGAATCATTGATCAGCTGACTCCTGCACGCCCCCTACTGGGGATCGAGCCTGCAACCCGGGCATGTGCCCTGACTGGGAATCAAACCGTGACCTCCTGGTTCATATGTTGACGCTCAACCACTGAGCCACACCAGCCGGGCAGTTATTAGATACTTTTAAATTTTATGATATTGAAGTATATGTGCTTCTTTGTTAATACTTTATTTTTTTTAAATATATTTTATTGATTTTTTACAGAGAGGAAGGGAGAGAGATAGAGAGTTAGAAACATCGATGAGAGAGAAACATCGATCAGCTGCCTCCTGCACATCTCCCACTGGGGACGTGCCCGCAACCCAGGTACATGCCCTTGACCGGAATCGAACCTGGGACCCTTGAGTCCGCAGGCCGACGCTCTATCCACTGAGCCAAACCGGTTTCGGCTGTTAATACTTTAAATAGTAAGGTCTACTAGCTACTGTGATACTGAATTTGCGAAGAGCGTGATACTTCCAGATATCTGTAACAACGGTGTTAGGAACGGATCTGTGATTTCTGTTGCTGACAAGTCCCTGGCACTGCTAACATGATGGTGGGTTGTCGACATTTGTGACCGAGGGAAGTGCTCATTTTCAGTTAGAGTTGGTGACAAGAAAGATGACATGTGTCTCCATCCAAGTCCCTGGGTCCCCTAAGTCTTGTTCATGGACCTCTTGGCAATGCCCTTTCTCCCCTGGCCCTCGCCTATGTCTTGGATCGATGACTCCCTCCTCCCCAGTCCCTAGCTGCAGGGGTCGCCTTTTCGTTCTCCGGTTCTTCGAATACCCCAAGCTTGTCTCCAGCCTGCACTGCAGCCTTTGGAACTGCTGTGCCCGCCGCCTGGAATGCTCTTCCCCACAAATTCTCCAGGGGCCTTTAGGGCTCAGCTCAGATATCACCTTCCCAGCCAGCCGCCAGAAAGGAGGCAGACTCTCCCTGCCTTTGCTGCCTTTCACACGGTGCTGTTTATTAATGTTCTCTGCCGTCACTCCATCTGAAGTCACCTTTTGAGTCGTTGACCTGTGTATTTTCTGTCTCCCCCCCCTGGACTGGATGTCCCATGACAATAGTGACTGTGTCTTGTCTAGAACAGTGCCTGGCACATAATAGAAGTTCACTAAATGTTGGGTGCTTGAAGGAATCAATGAGATAAAATATTAGAAATAAGGTTTTTAAAACAAAATTGTGACATGTACTTGCTTTGCCTAAATTTAATCTTAGCCAGTGGTTTAAACCTTAAGTCATAAAAGTTTAGACGTAGGAGGAACCTTAGAAAGCATCTACTTGAATACCGCCCCCCCCGCCCCCCCAATTCTTACCTGATAGATGAGCAAACTTCGCACGATCACATGGCTGGGCTACAGTAGTCTCTCGTCCACTAAGTGGGGAAGGCACGGTGGCTCCTGGCCCAGGCCAGTTCCCCTAAGGCTGCACTTTGGCTCATTCTCACGGTGATGTTAGGTTTCCACAGAATCCTCCACTCCAGGAACTGGAGAGCATCCTGTCCAGCCCATTTCAGACCTGAGTAAAGAGGCTCCAAGAGGCCCCTGGCCCTGAGTGGCAGCTTTCACTCCCCAGCATCATACTGACTCCTTTTGGGCACCAGCTCCCACCAGTAATCAAAGCAGAGACTTATTAGGCACTCAAAGCGACAGACGTTTCTGTCTGATTCTCTGTTTATTTTATCTTGTAAAAGTGGGTTGTAGGTGCATTTGTTTATTCAACAAGTGTTCACTGAGCAATTATTATGAGCCCCTGGAGCTCATGCATGGCTTTGCCCAGGAGACAGAGAGAAATAAAGCGGAGATAACAAGTTGCAAAAGTTCTGTGATGGAGGAACAGGTTGCTGAGCTGGGACAAAGTATCAAGGGTCTACACCCATCAGGAACATGACCTTCTCCGGAAGAGGTGGCATCACTCTGAGCCTCCCAGGGCACCCCTTTGTGTGAGCTCCCTGCGGGCATGGACCACGTCCTGTCCATCTTGGAGTCTCCGTTGCTGGCACAGTGAGGGGATGGGTGGGTGGATGGGTTGATAAAGAAGCGGAATGGATGTTGCTCTCCTCCCAGCCCAGACACTGTGATTGGCAGCGATGAGTATTAAGATAGAAATTCTTTGCCACACAAGTGTGAGCCCCAGACATGAGTAACTGGTCTTAGCCAGCCCTGGCGGAGGACAGGCGGGCCATGCGAGGAGGAAGGGGCTCTCTATCGTCTGCTTGATGAAATATCAAATAATGACATTATTAGTTATTCAGCTAGTTGTTCTCATAAGATAATGAGAGGGCCCAAATCAAAGGACTGCTCAGAATGTCCAAAGCTTGGAAGGCGAGAGCGTCATTGTGAAGATAAAAGATTGTTGAGGTCTGCAAATATTTCTCAGTGACGCAGAAAGTTCTGCTGGGGAAAAGTGTGGCATTTTTATTTATTTAGCTCAGGCTCATTGCGTACTTTATTCTTTCATTTAAGAAAAAAAAAAAGCATGAGGGGGCTTGAGTGAAAGAGTTGATTATTCCGCTGTTTGGCAATATTTCTGTAGGAACTGTCCAAAAGCTATATAATAAATCAAGGCCCCCTCCGCACCCCCTGGCGCGACTGACGTTTACGAGGAGGCTGTTCACAGAAATTAGCTGCTGTGGTGCCCTGTGCCCCCACGGACCCACAGGACCGGGGAGATTGCATTTGCCTGGTGGCAGAGCCTCTGACCAAAGCCTTAACCCTTTGCAGGAGCAGAAGCTCTGAGCTGTCGGGGAGTTCCTAGAAGACAGTATAGAACAGCGGTTCTCAACCTGTGGGTTGCGACCCCTTTGGCGGTCGAATGACCCTTTCACAGGGGTCGCCTAAGACCATCCTGCAGATCAGATATTTACATGACGATTCATAACAGTAGCAACATTACAGTTATGAAGTAGCAACGAAAATAATTTTATGGTTGGGTCACAACATGAGGAACTGTATTTAAAGGGCCAGAAGGTTGAGAACCACTGGTGTAGAACCTTAGCATTAAAGAAAAACACCATAATAATGTGAAGACTGCCTTGAACTGGCCTCGGACTTGATAATTCACTCCCTCGGCTTTGCATGTATTCCGTAAACAAGAAACCAGCCTACAGATATCTGTGGAGCCCCTACTATGTGCTAGGCATTGGTGCAGATGCAGAGCTGGGCCACAGGCTGCAGAAACGGGGCAGTCTCGTGGACTGACTCGGTCACTGGCCCTAAGGTCCGATGGTGGCTCCGCTGCTCCCAGCCCAGTGATATTGGACAAGTGGGTTAATTTCTCCAGGTTGCGGTTTCTCTGTCTATGAAATGGGGACACTGATACCAAGCTGGTAGAGCCGGTGGGAGGGCTGGCACAGTGCCTCGCATATGCTATCGAGTCGTGGTCATCATCATTGTAGTCATCATCATCATCATCATCAAGGCCCCGAGGGAGGGCTTTAGAGTTTCCTCAAGAAGCTGAAT